CATTTACGCAGACTGTTTTCAAGCCATGTGTCGCTCATCTTATATCAGGGCATTTCACTTTTTCACTGTTGAAAAATGTACAGTATATATACTCTCAGCCCCAGGAAACCCAATGTTAGGGCTGCTATAATCTGACAACAAATTGAAGCCACACCACAGCATTGGGGATGGAGAGATAGTGAGCAGAACAAGACTTTACTTAGGAGATCCCTCATAGCCTGAGGATGATGGTCCTCCAAGTTCAGTGTTTTGGTGGTGAGTCCGTAGGTGGCTGTGGAGCTCTATTCTTGATCCGCATGTTCTCCCGCAGTGAGGACATCGGTTTCCGAACAGGGCATAGGGTTACACTCCCCCTGAAAGCACAGGTTCGCAGTTTGGGAGTGATTCTGGACTCATAGCTGAGCCTGGAACCTCAGGTCTTGGTGGTGGTCAGGGGAGCTTTCGCACTATTAAAACTTGTGCGCCAGCTGCGCCCGTACCTTGGGAAGTCTGACTTGGCCATGGTGGTCCACGCTCTGGTTACGTCCTGTATATACTGCAACACTCTCTACATGGGGTTGCCTCTGAAGACTGCCCGGAAGCTGCAATTAGTCCAACGAGTGGCAACTAGATTACTAACAGGAGTGGGGTACAGGGAGCATACTACTCCTCTGTTGCACCAGCTCCATCGGCTGCCAAATGGCTTCAGAGCACAATTCAAAGTGCTGGTGTTGAACTATAAATCCCTAAACGACTCCGGCCCAGTTTACCTGTCCGAACGGATTCTCCCCTATGAACCATCAAGGTTGTTAAGATCTTCTGGGGGGGGGCTGCTCTCGGTCCCACCACCCTTGCAATCACGTCTGGTGGGGACGAGGGACAGGGCCTTTTCGGTGGTGGCCCTTCGGCTCTGGAACTCTCTCCCATTGGAGATTAGAACTGCCCCTTCCCTCCTGACCTTTAGAAAGTTGGTGAAAACCTGGCTCTGGAATCTGGCATTTGATGAGTGAGTCAATAACTCTTGACCACACGGACGGATGGGGATGAATTGTGATTTTATTCTGACAACTTGGCCTTATGTAATTATATGATTGTATTTTAATGTGTTTTTATATTCGTGTATTATACGATGTGACGTTTTAAACTATTGTGTATAAATCCTCTGTTGTAAACCAGCCTGAGTCCCTCGTCGGAGGTGAGAAGACCGGTATATAAAAGTTCTAAATAAATAAATAATACATAAATAAATAAATAAATAAATAATAAATTTCCAGGCAAAAGCCAACCCGCACTCTACGTGGGGTTACCTTTGAAGACTGCTCGGACACTCCATCTAGTCCAGCGGGAGGCAGCCAGACTACTCACCGGGGCGTCATACAGGGAGCACACCACCCCCCTGTTGTGTCAGCTCCACTGGCTGCCGATCCAGTTCCGAGCACAATTCAAGGTGCTGGTTTTGACCTACAAAACCCTATACGGTTCCGGCCCAGTGTATCTGTCCGAACGGATCTCCCTCTACGTCCCACCCCGGAGCCTAAGATCCTCTGAGGAGGTCCTGCTCTCGACCCCGCCTCTATCACAAGTGAGATTGGCGGGGACGAGGAGCAGGGCCATCTCGGTGGTGGCCCCCCACCTGTGGAATTCACTCCCCGGGGAAATTAGATCTGCAACATCGCTCCTTTCTTTTAGGAAAAAACTAAAAGCATGGATATGGCATTCGGCATTCGGACAAGCGGGCAGATCAAGAAAGAACTTCGATGATGACTAGGAAATGATTAACGGATTGGATCTATGGAACTCTGGAATAACGAAACGCTAATTATAAGAATGACTTTATATGATGTTTTATATGATGTGTTATGTACTGGCTGTTGACTGTTTTAATTGTGATAACTGTTTTAATTATGTTTTTGTATATTATGTGTAATTTGTATAGGCATCGAATTCTGCCTTTTCTGTAAGCCGCCCTGAGTCCCCCTTCTGGGGTTGAAAAGGGCGGGGTAAAAGTACCAGAAATAAATACAGTATATTCTGGCGTATAAGACTACTTTTTAACCCAAGAAAATCTTCTCAAAAGTCAGGGGTCGTCTTATACGCGGCTGTAGTCTTATGCATGGGAGTTGTCTTAACTCTATATTTTAACTGGAAAAGTTGGGGGTCGTCTTATACACCCAGTCGTCTTATATGCCGGAATATACGGTAAATAAATAAATAAATAAATAAATAAATCCTGGTCAGGGTTGGCTTGATGTGCCTTCCTCTTGGCACATTTCTCCCTTTCACCCTCCATTTGTGCCTCTTCGAATTCTGCAGCACTGCTGGTCACAGCTGACCTCCAGTTAGAATGCTCAAGGGCCAAGGTTGCCCAGTTCTTGCTGTCTATGCAGAGAACTATGCAGAGCCCATCTTGAAATCTCTTTCATTTGGCTTGACTGGTAGAAACATAAACGTGATTCTTGTGAACATCCTTTCTGTTTACTTCTTCCTCCTGTTGCCTTATTTGTCAGAATCACTTTGCAAACCCTCAAAGTGGGAATTCTGTCTTTACAAGCCCATTCCTAACCACCCGGAGTGCATCTTACTGCAGTATCAACAATTAAATAAATGAGAATAGCAGAAGGCTGTTGTAAACAAGCTCTCTCCCTCTCTCTCTCATTTCTGATCTGGACCATCCACATCTGAGGCCCAGCATGCGCCTGGGAGTATAAACCTGCAGATCAAGGCAATTCTTGTTAGCCTGGCAGTTTGGGGGCAGGAACCTGACTTCCTCCAGACATCTGGATTCTATGCTCTCCTTCACAGATTTTATTTTCCCCTCCTGTTCAAAGAATTTTGCAAGAGAGCAACAGGACGGAAGCAGAACAACATCCTTTCCCAAATGATCATCAAGAGACACAAACCCAGAGTAAACAATCACTAATGGTATTTGCCTGGTGGCATCGCCCACTGGGAACCCAGAAGCCAACCAGCCAATTAGCAAACTTCTGAGTCTTTGCAGATACCGACAACAGTGCAAATACGAAGAAAACAGACAAGCATAATAGTTAATGGAAAAAAACTCCAATTTCACCCCGATCAATGGATAATTGCCACCTCTTCTTCCTTTCATTGTCATTTTATTTATTCCACCGCTATGTTTGCTCCATCCATGCACCTTCCGAAAATCCTAAATACTCCAAAATTGTGTTGTTGAAGGCTTTCATGGCCAGAATCACTGGGTTGCTGTGAGTTTTCTGGGCATGTTTCAGAAGCATTCTCTCCTGACGTTTCACCCACTTCTATGGCAGGCATTCCTAGAGGTTGTGCGGTCTGTTAGAAACTATGCAAGTGGGGTTTATATATCGGTGGAATGTTCAGGGTTGGGAAAAGAACTCTTGTCTGTTTGAGGCAAGTTTGAATGTTGCAATAGGCCACCTTGATTAGCCTTTCAGTTTCAAGGCCTGGCTGTTTACTGCCTGGGGGAATCCTTTGTTGGGAGGTCTAGCCATCCCCTGCCATGCATTGCTGTGGCCCAGTCTGTGTATATGTGTTTTGTGTGTGTATATATGTGTATGTGTGTGTATATATTTGTGTATATATGTGTGTTTGCGTGTGTGTGTGTGTATATGGTTGTATATATGTGTGTGTATATATTTGTGTATTTGTGTTTATATGTGTACATGCATATTGTGTGTGTGCTTATCTATATGCATATTTGTGTGTACATATGTATGTGGATATGTGTGTGTGTGTGGATATGTATATATGCATATGTATATGTATATGTATATATGTGTGTATGTATATGTATGTGTGTATATGTGTATATGCATATGTGTGTGTTTGTGCATATGTATACATGTGTGTTTATATGTATACATGCATATTGTGTGTGTGCTTGTCTATATGCATATTTGTGTATACATATGTATGTATGTATGTGGATATGTGTGTGCATGTGTATATGTATATATGTGTATGTGTATGTATATGTATATGTGTATATTTGTGTATGTTTGTGAATATATATACATGTGTGTGTATGAATGTGTGCATGTGCATACGTATATGAGTGTATATGTATGTATGGTGTATTTTGGGGGGTTTTAAAATCTGTTCCGCTGGGGCTTTGTGTGTGTCTGTGTGCACGTGCGTGTGTGTTTATGGGTGATGGACACTCGTTGGACTCTGTGTGTATGTGTTTTGTGTGTGTATATATTTTTGTATATATGTGTGTTTGCATGTGTGTGTGTGTGTATATATATATATATGGGTGTATGTATGTGTGTATTTGTGTGTTTATATGTTCATGCATATTGTGTGTGTGCTTGTCTATATGCATATTTGTGTGTACATATGTATGTATGCGGATATGTGTGTGCATGTGGATATGTATTTGTGCATGTGTATATGTATATATGTATGTATATGTATGTGTGTATATGTGTATATTTGTGCATATATTTACATGTGTGTATATGAATGTGTCTGACCTTGAGGGAGCTGGGGGTGGTAACGGCAGGGAGCTCTGGCGTGGGCTGGTCCATGAGGTCACGAAGAGTCGGAGACGACTGAACGAATGAACAACAACAACATATGAATGTGTGCATGTGCATATGTATATATGGTGTATTTTTGGGGGTTTTAAGTCTGTTCCGCTGGGGTTTTGTGTGTGTGTGTGCGCGCGTGTGCATTTGTGTTTATGGGTGATGGACACTCGTTGGACTGTTAAGTGTATTGTGTCCAAATTTCGTGTCAATTCGTCCAATGGTTTTTGAGTTATGTTAATCCCACAAACGAACATTACATTTTTGTTTATATAGATCATATATTTCAAAGAGACTCAAATGCCATTTAGTGCAACCCTATTCTGCCATACAGGAAAAGCACAGTCAAAGCATCCCGGATAGATGGCCAAAATGATAAAACTCCTAACAATGCCACAATCCAACTTTCCCCCCTCTTTTTGCACACATAAAGAAAGCAAGGAGTTAAGAAAGCGTTATGGAAAGACGATCCGAAGTGACAAAAAGACACCTTACCTATAGTTCCACGGCCAATGCTGCAGCTCAGGAAAAAGCCTCCAAATTGCGATGCGGGTCAGTTACTGTTCACAATGAAATGCCTCCCATTCTTGGTCACCAGGAAAGGGTTTCACAGATAGCTTATCGGCCGGAACAGCTGCAAAAGAGTAAAGCAAAAGGAGAAGGGGAGATTACAAGAAGGGCCAGGGGTCACAAGAAGTACACGAACATGGCACAAATCTCATGGCTTGAAAAGAAATAAAAGCCCAGCAATGTCTCCTTCCAGTGACCCAAACTATTACATACTTTGAAACACAAACCAGGTCGCACTTTGGGAGCAACAGTGGGGAAAACAATCCACAGAATTGTATTCTCGAAGGCTTTCATGGCTGGAATCACTGGGTTGCTGTGAATTTTCCGGGCTGTATGGCGATGTCCCAGAAGCATTCTCTCCTGACGTTTCGCCTGCATCTATGGCAGGTATCCTCAGAGGTTGTGATGTCTATTTTAAACTAGGACAAGTGGGGTTCATATATCTGTGGAAGATCCAGGGTGGGAGAAAGAACTCTTGTCTGTTGGAGGCAGGTGTGTTGCAACTGGCCACATTGATTAGCACTGAATAATAATAATAATAATAATAATAATAATAATAATAATAATAATTTATTTATACCCCACTAGCCCCCGGAGCCCCCGGTGGCGCAGTGGGTTAAAGCACTGAGCTGCTGAGCTTGTTGATCGAAAGGTTGCAGGTTCGATTCGGGAGCGGCGTGAGCTTCCGCTGTCAGCCCTAGCTTCTGCCAACCTAGCAGTTCGAAAACATGCAAATGTGAGTAGATCAATAGGTACCGCTCCGGCGGGAAGGTAACGGCGCTCCATGCAGTCATGCCGGCCACATGACCTTGGAGGTGTCTATGGACAACGCTGGCTCTTCGGCTTAGAAATGGAGATGAGCACCACACCCCAGAGTCAGACATGACTGGACTTAATGTCAGGGGACTACCTTTACCTTTACCTTACATCTCCCCCAGGGTGACTCGGGGCGGCTTACATACAATACAATAAACACAGTATTACACAAAAACATAAAATGCAAAAACCAATATAATAAGACAACACAACAATATAAAATCAAAACATCAAAACACAAGGAATTTCACTGGCCATATAGCCCGAAAAAACCTACAACAACACAAGGAATTTCACTGGCCATATAGCCCGAAAAAACCTACAACAACACAAGGAATTTCACTGGACAGGGCCAAATCAAGAATAAAAATATAAATTATTAAAAACCCTGGGAGATAAGCAATGTAAAATTGCCGTGAATAGCCTTGCAGCTTCAAGGTCTGGCTTCTTACTGCCTGGGGGAATCATAGAATCATAGAATCAAAGAGTTGGAAGAGACCTCATGGGCCATCCAGTCCAACCCCCTGCCAAGAAGCAGGAATATTGCATTCAAATCACCCCTGACAGATGGCCATCCAGCCTCTGTTTAAAAGTTTCCAAAGAAGGAGCCTCCACCACACTCCAGGGCAGAGAGTTCCACTGCTGAACGGCTCTCACAGTCAGGAAGTTCTTCCTCATGTTCAGATGGAATCTCCCTCTCTGTAGTTTGAAGCCATTGTTCCAAACTACAAGAGAGGAGATTCCATCTGAACATTAGGAAGAACTTCCTGACTGTGAGAGCCGTTCAGCAGTGGAACTCTCTGCCCCGGAGTGTGGTGGAATCCTTTGTTGGGAGGTGTTAGCTAGCCTTAGGAGCCCCTGGTCGTGCAATGGCTAAACCCTTGTGCTGGCAGAAGTACTAACCAAAAAGTCGGTGGTTCAAATCCAGGAAGTGGGATGAGCTCCCATCTGCCAGCTCCAGCTTCCCATGCAGGAAGCCTCCCACAAGGATGGTAAAACATCCAGGCGTCCTCTGGGCAACATCCTTGCAGACAGCCAATTCTCTCACAACAGAAGCAACTTGCAGTTTCTCAACTCACTCCTGACGCGCGCACACACACACACACACAAGGCCGTGATTGTTTCCTGTCTGGAATTCCCTTGCTTTCTGAGTATTATTCTTTATTCCAGATAGGAATCAATCAGACTGTGAGAGCCGTTCAGCAGTGGAACTCTCTGTCCCGGAGTGTGGTGGAGGCTCCTTCTTTGGAAGCTTTAAACAGGGGCTGGATGGCCATCTGTCAGGGGTAATTTGAATGCAATATTCCTGCTTCTTGGCAGGGGGTTGGACTGGATGGCCCATGAGGTCTCTTCCAACTCTAGGATTCTATGATTCTAGGGGCAGCTAACACCTCCCAACAAAGGACTCCCCAGGCAGTAAAAAGCCAGACCTTGAAGCTGCAAGGCTATTCAATGCTAATCAATGTGGTCAGTTGCAACACACCTGCCTCAAACAGACAAAGAGTTCTTCTTCCATCCTGGACATCCCACAGATATATAAACCTCACTTGTCCTAGTTTCCAACAGACCTCACAACGTATGAGGATACCTGCCATAGATTCAGGCAAAACGTCAGGAGAGAATGCTTCTGGAACCTGGCCAGAAAATCCACAACAACCTAATCTCTGATTTATGGCAACCCTAAAGTGATTTTATCACTGTGCCGTTGTTGTTTTGGAGGGCGGAACAATTTTGTTCAAACCTAAATTGTGCATAATACATTTTATGTTCCTAAAGTGTATTGAAACACCTCCAACATGGCAAAAAATTGCAAGCATACCAAAGTTAATAGTATACCAGGGAAGCTATTAAGTCAAGGAACATTACCCCCTTTCTATGTATTTTTAAATATATATATAATATTAAGGAAATTACTTTCTGGACTACAACTCCCAGAGCTAGGCGAGCAGGGAGCTGGTGACTAATAGACACAAAATTATTATTCCCCACTTTGTTTTTATTACATTGTTTGCACCTCAAAGTGGGAAAATATGGGCATGAGTTCTCAAGGGGACAAAAAGCTCCTCTAACAATGAACAATTACAGACTGTTGTAGTAATTAGCAGAAATTAAGCAGAGATGGATGCAAAATCCCACATTTAGGCATCCAAACCAAAGGCACACTTATAAGTTGGGGAAAACTTGTTGATCATAAATGGAACATGAGACAGTGGTGTGATGCTGCAGCAAAAATAGATAAATACTGTCTTTGTTTGCATTAATAGAAACATATTTTAATGTATTGTCGAAGGCTTTCATGGCCGGAATCACTGGGTTGTTGTAGGTTTTTTCGGGCTGTATGGCCATGTTCTGGAGGCATTCTCTCCTGACGTTTCGCCTGCACTTTGGCAAGCATCCTCAGAGAGAGAGAAAGACTTTGGCAAGCATCCTCAGAGAGAGAGAATAATCCAATTCCTCATGTTGTGGTGACCCCCAACCACAACATTATTTTCGTTGCTACTTCATAATTGTAATTTTGTTACTGTTATGAATCACAATGTAAATATCTGATATGCAGGGTGTATTTTCATTCAATGGACCAAATTTGGCACAAATACCTAATATGCCCAAATTTAAAAACTGGTGGGGTTGGGGGGGTTGATTTTGTCATTTGGGAGTTGTAGTTGCTGGGATTTATAGTTCACCTACAATCAAAGAGCATCCTGAACCCCACCAACGATGGAATTGAACCAAACTTGATACGCAGAATTCCCATTAACAACAGAAAATATTGGAAGGGTTTGGTGGGCTCCTTCAGTTTTGGAGTTGTAGTTCATCTACATTCAGAGAGAACTGTGGACTCAAGCAATAATAGATGTGGACCAAACTTGACACAATACTCAATATGCCCAAATGTGAACACTGGTAGAGTTTGGGGAAAATAGACCTTGAAATTTGGAGGTTGTAGTTGCTGGGATTTATAATTCACCTACAATAAAAGAGCATCCTGAACTCCACCAATGATAGAATTGGTCCAAACTTGGCATACAGAACTCCCATGGCCAAGAGAAAATACTGGAAGAGTTTGATGGGCTCCTTGAGTTTTGGAGTTATAGTTCACATACATTCAGAAAGCACTGTGGACTCAAGCAATAATAGATCTGGACCAAACTTGACACAATACTCAATATGCCCAAATGTGAACACTGTTGGGGGTTGGGGGGAGGATTTATTTTGACCAAACTTGACATGACTACTTAATATGCCCAAATGTGAACACTCGTGAACATTTGACCTTGAGTTTTGGAGTTGTACTTCACCTACATCCAGAGTGTACGGTAGATTCAGACAATGATGGATCTGGACCGAACTTGACAAAATACTCAGTATGCCCAAATGTGAACACTGGTGGAGTTTGGGGAAAATAGACCTTGACATTTGGGGGTTGTAGTTGCTGGGATTTATAGTTCACCTACAATCAAAGAGCATCCTGAACTCCACCAATGATAGAATTGTCCCAAACTTGGCACACAGAATTCCCATGACCAAGAGAAAATACTGGAGGAGTTTGGTAGGCTCCTTGAGTTCTGGAATTGTAGTTCACCTACATCCAGAGAGCACTGTGGACTCAGAAAATGATGGATCTGGACCATCATTGGTGGAGTTTGGGGAAAATAGACCTTGGCATTTGAGGGTTGTAGTTGCTGGGATTTATAGTTCACCTACAATCAAAGAGCATTCTGAACCCCACCAACGATAGAACTGGGCCAGACTTCCCACACAGAACCCTCATGCCTTGAAGGAACTCACTGGCATGAAGCTCCCACAAGCCTTGCATGCTCTTCCTCGCCGCTGGGAAGTAGCAACCAATAGTGAAAGGACCAAGGCAGAGACATCTCCAGCTCATCCCCTGTTTGGCTATCAGCCAGCACGTCAACAACTTAAATCAAGAAATCATTTTCTAAGATCTACAGAGACACTTGCTGGAACACCTCAGCAAGTAAGAGCCCAAAAGTGGCAGGCTCAAACTCAGAACCTCAATCAATGGCTGATACCAAATGAGAGACTCCCCCTTGGGCACACAGAAAAATGGGCGACTTGGAAGGTGCTGAACAGACTGTGCTCTGGCACCACGAGATGCAGAGCCAACCTCAAAAAATGGGGCTACAAAGTGGAATCCGTGACACGCGAGTGTGGAGAAGAGCAAACTACAGACCACCTGCTGCAATGCAACCTGAGCACAATGGAGGACCTTCTTCCGGCAACACC